CNGTTTTCATACCACTGCATCCTCACAGTCTGTAAGGTCAGCATCCATCATGCGTCAGCTCTAGCATGCTACTCACGATTAACTTGGTGTTGGTGTTGCAGCTCTTATTCAGTGAGAGAAAAACGATAGCCGAATCCAAAATAAGGCTTGACTGGATTCTGATGAAACCTTATAATAAGTAAAGAGGCTCAGCTGTCGTATCCATTCTTCAAACTTCGTTGTCATACCATAATAGCCGAGCCAGAACTGGAATACTGATTCCTAACATAAAAATACTCAAATAATTTTGATACCTATCTCATCTGCGCAGCACTGGCAAGACATCTGTGGTACAATACGCATGATCCCAGAAACCTACAAACCGAGAAGCCTCGCCTTGATGGCCATTCCTGCCACAAAAACTCCTACGCCGACCGCAGAACCGATCAACGCAACAATGCCTCCTTGACGCTTGGCCTTTTGATCAAGAGTTTTTATCCGGTTCTCCAATCCTGTGAGGTGGTCCTGTCCGTTCTTCATACGCTCCATCTGTTCCCAAGTGACAAAGCACTTTTTCTTTTCATCACCAATTCGGAGTTCGGCGGCGAGGACCTTAGGCAGGATGCGATCGATGTTATAAGGGACCACATAGTACAAAGCATGGATAGTATCGACCTATACCGGTTAGACAAGTAATATAAGGGGGCTCTTTGAGAGCAGATTCACCTCTACTCCTTGCAGAAACGGGATCATAGGTCTCTCTCAAAAAAAAATTGGGATCAAAATCTTTTACGTTGAAATCTTCGTCTTCCCTCAACGGTATCCAGCCATGTGTCTTGAATTCCATGACATACTTCCAAGTAGCGCCAAGTGTTTCCATATCGTCCTCAACAATGTAAAATAAGAAGATGATGGCACGTTGATGGGGGTTCAACGGAGATTGAAATGTTGGATTGCGTGGATCATATTGTGGAACAGTACTCATAATTATACTCTAATCCTGAACCTGGGGCCAACGACGATCTTGTGGCACACCTATTCTTGAACCTAATCATGGAAA